GTTACTTAGAGAATAACTTTTGTTAGCTCTTTGAATAACTTTGATGACTTTGAGAATAACTTTGATAGCTCTGGGAATAACTTTTATGATTTTGAGAACATCTTTGATGTCTTGGAGAACAACATTGATGTTTAGAGAACAACTTTGATGACCAAGATTAACTTTAGATGTCTCTGAGAATAACTTTTATAACATAGAAATTAACTTTAGATGTCTCTGAAAAATATCTTTGATGACTTCCAGAATAACATTTGATGACTCTGAGAATAACTTTTATGTCTTACATAATAACTTTAGATGTCTCTGAAAATAACTTTGATGAAAAAAGATGTCTTAGATTAACTTTTGATGACTTTGAAAACAAGTTTGATGAACAAAGATGTTTTGGAAAGTTTCTCTGACGAACGAAGGTGACTTAGAGATTAACTTTTATGATTTAGAGAACATCTTTGATGTCTTAGAGAACAAGATTGATGTCTTAGAGAACAACTTTGATGAACAAAGATGTCTTAGAAAGCTTCTCTGATGAACGAAAAGATACTTAGAGAATAACTTTGACGACTGTATTTAACTTTTTGATGGCTCTGAGGACAGTTTTTGTTGAACGAGGATGTCTCAGAAGGCTTCTTTGAATAACAAAGGTGACTCTGAGAATAACTTTGGTGACTCTGAGAAAGACTTTGTTGTCTTAAAGAATAACTTAGATGTCTCTGAGAATAACTTTTATGAACGAAGATGTCTGAGATTAACTTTTGTGGACATGAGAATATCTTTGGATAACTCTGAGATTAACTTTGATGTCTTTGAAACAACTTTGAAGAACGAGAGTGAGTTAGAGATTACCTTTGTTAACTCTGAGATCAACTTTGATGAACAAAAGTGAGTTAGATATTACATTTGATAACTCTAAGATTAACTTTAGATGTCTCTGAGACAAACTTTTATAACATAGAAATTAACTTTAATGACCAAAAGTGAGTTAGAGAATACCTTTTGATGACTCCGAGAATAACTTGATGAACAAAGATGTTTTGGAAAGTTTCTCTGAAGAACGAAGGTGACTCTGAGAATAACTTTTATGTCTTAGAGAAGAACATTGATGGTTTAGAGAGAATATCTTTGATGAAAAATGATGTCTTAGATTAACTTTGATGACTCTGTGAATAACTTTGATGACTTTGAGAACAAGTTTGATAGCTCTGAGAATTACTTTTATGCCTCTGAGAATAACTTTGAGGATGCAAGTAAATTTTTGAGTGTTTGAGAGTGTCTTTTGATATCTCGAAGAGTCCCATTGAAGTCTTAAAGGATGTCTTTGATGTCTCAAAGGATGTCTTTGATGTCTCAAAGGATGTCTTTGAGTGTAACTTTGGTATCTTTGAGTAAGTCCTTGATGTATTGAAGAGTGTCTTTGATTTCTCGAAGAGTAACTTTGGTGTCACGGAGAGCACCTTTGACTATTTTTCGTACTTGACGACATATAATTTTTACGAAAGTGCTGAAAAAGTTACATTTGACTATTTTTCTTACTTAGCGACATATAATTTTAGTTACGAAAGTGTTGAAAAAGTTACATTTGACTATTTTTAGTTGAGGAAAAAGACAAAATATGACGACAATGACTATTTTAGTGCTCCACAAAGTATAATGCCAGTTAAGAACGACGATGATAGATATCTTTGACTATATTTCTTACTTGACTATGGATAAAGTTAGTTATGAACAGTGCTGAAAAGATTCCTTTGACAATTTTTAGCTAAGCGAAAGGCTGTTTTAGTTAAGAACGGTGTTGAATGAGGTTAATCCTGACTATTTTCAGATGAGAGAAGTGATATTTCAGTTAAGAAATGACAAGGAAACATGATGAAGTAACTATTTTTAGTTGACCGATGAATACTTTTAGTTGAGCAAAAGCCAAAACATGATGAACATGACTTTTCTGATGATTGGCAGATAATTTTAGTTATGAAATGACAATGAAACATGATGAACACGGTTATTTTCTGATGAATGGGGAATATGTTTAGTTAAGAAATGATGAAAGTTATTATTTTTAGTTGATTGACGATGGATAAAAGCTAGTTATGAACAGTTTTGGAAAGTTTCCTTTGACAATTTTTTCTTGATGAAACATAGCGCCTGTTAAGAAAGTGCTGAAAAAAGTTTCCTTTGACAATTTTAGCTAAGAGAAAGGTTGTTTTAGTTAAGAACAGTGTTGAACGAGGCTATTTCTGACTATTTTTAGTTGACTGGATAATAAGTTTAGTTGAGAAATGACGAAAGTGACTATGTTTTTAGTTGATTGGTGAAAGATTTTTTAGTTAAGGAACGTTAGATAACATGTAAGGGGAAAAACCCAGAGAACATATGGGGAACATGGCAAAGAACATATGTAAGAAAAGTTGATGAATACAGTGAACATGCAGGGAATATGAACTTGTAGAGGAACATGAATATTGACAAAGAACATAGGGAATACAAAGAATGAACACTGAACGTGTGAAGAACAAGCTAGAACATTGAGAACATGAATATTGAGTATAAAAGTTATAAAGAGAACATGTGATGAACATGAAAACATAGAAAATATGACTAGAATTTGTAGAGAAAGTAATGAGACTAAGAGAAAGATTATAGAAAAAAATGGAGATACTTGTGAAAATATGAACTGAATGGGACTGTGAACATTTGTAGAACATGGAATGAACACAGAAAAATGGACAAAATGTGAAGAACACAGCTGAATATAGAGAAAATATGCAAATACAGTATGATTATTGAAGGTTTTGATACGTTGGGGATTGATACGTTGGGGATGAGAAGGGTAAAGTAATTACTCAGATAAACAGATAGGCTGGAGAGGGACTTGATCGAATATATTTATGTCTGATGATCTAAGGCTGAGGAAATGGAGCTTTGCTAATGTCCAGATTAATTTTACTACGTTAGAAAATAAGGTGATCTTAAATCTCAGGTGATTTAGTTGGAAAATAAAGAACTTGCACAAATGAACTAAGCTGGGGCACAAGAGTTGAAACTTGATAACTGAACTGGTTTTTATTTACTATGTCTGAAAATGTAGTTGGGTGATTTGGACTGAGAGTAATGAATTTACAAAAGTGAGCTTGGACAGAGGACAAGAGCTAGAGTTTTATAATTGTTTACTTCATATTTACTATGTCTGAAATATGACTGTTTAAAATTTCAGGGGGATTGGACTGCTAGTAGCGAAAATGTGGTCTCTGTCAAATTTGGGTCTTTAATTGGACTCTGATTAATTTCGATCATGAACTAGACTCTGAATATTTTGGCACAAAGTAGACTCTGGCGAATTTTCGGTATAAACTGGACTCTGATGAAATAAGAGCTTAAAACTGGGCTCTGTCAAATTTTCACAGATTACAGGACACTGATGAAATTTGCTAGAAAACTGGACTCTGATGAATTTTGCTATTAAAGCAGACTCTGGCGAATTTGAGCATAGACTGGACTCTGACGAAAATTGGGTATAAAATGGACTCTGTCAAGTTTTCACAGATTACAGGACACTGATGAAATTTGCTCTCAAAGTAGACTCTGGCGAATTTCTGTTGATAATTGGACTCTGATGAAATATGAGCTTAAAACTGTCTCTGACTAATTTTGCTCTCAAAGTAGACTCTGTTCATTTTTAGGTATAAATTGGACTCTGATGAAATATGAGCTAAATACTGTCTCTGACTAATTTTGCTCTCAAAGTAGACTCTGGTGAATTTCTGTTGATAATTGGACTCTGATGAAATATGAGCTTAAAACTGTCTCTGACTAATTTTGCTCTCAAAGTAGACTCTGGCGAAAATTGGGTATAAAATGGACTCTGTCAAATTTTCGCAGATTACAGGACTCTGATGAAATTTCAGCTTAAAACTGTCTCTGACTAATTTTGGTCTTTACAGGTGAAATAGCCGTAAATGGATATAAAACTAAATGTTATGGCTAAGTTGTCTGTTTTCCTTAACAAAACATCTAAGACAATATTCTCTGAAAATGGTCCTTTTACAAATGTGTGATTGAAAACGGGCAAAGGTTGTCCATAGAGTTTACCTGGAAATGCTGTGACACAAACACGATTTTTTCTAAAACTTTTCTTTAAGATTTTCCTACTTATTTTCATCATAAGAATGATTAACAAACTTCTAAGATCTCGGAAATTATTTTTCTCATAAGAATTCCTTACTTCCAAATCTGTGACTCCCCAAATTTGCCTGAAAACCCCTAAGATCCACAGGGGATTTTTCTCCCAGAAAAAAAATCGTCTGTGGCTCTTACAGTCCACAGGGGTCCTCTCCCCAAAAAAAAATCGTCTGTGGCTCTTACTCCCTACTACTCTGGGACTATAGTGACCAGTGTTGGGATGGTCGGGGACTATGGTGACCAGTGTTGGGATGGTCGGGGACTATGGTGACCAGTGTTGGGATGGTCGGGGACTATAATGACCAGTGTTGGGATGGTCGGGGACTATAATGACCAGTGTTGGGATGGTCGGGGACTATGGTGACCAGTGTTGGGATGGTCGGGGACTATGGTGACCAGTGTTGGGATGGTCGGGGACTATGGTGACCAGTGTTGGGATGGTCGTGGACTATAGTGACCAGTGTTGGGATGGTCGGGGACTATAGTGACCAGTGTTGGGATGGTCGTGGACTATGGTGACCAGTGTTGGGATGGTCGTGGACTATGGTGACCAGTGTTGGGATGGTCGGGGACTATAATGACCAGTGTTGGGATGGTCGGGGACTATAATGACCAGTGTTGGGATGGTCGGGGACTATAATGACCAGTGTTGGGATGGTCGGGGACTATAATGACCAGTGTTGGGATGGTCGGGGACTATAATGACTACATTATAGTTAAAAGTCTGCGAATTCATTGTCACGATTCAATTAAATGCTAATTTGACGCTTCGGTATTGTGCAGTATTGAGCGCTACGTCTCCCGTTATCATTTGTGTGATATTGCAGCGAGAGGAGGTCCCCGAGTAACGCCGGGGAGAGATGGCTCGCCACGTGCCAGACATCACAGCCCAGTGAGTCAACAGATGGCTCGCCACGTGCCAGACATCACAGCCCAGTGAGTCAACAGATGGCTCGCCACGTGCCAGACATCACAGCCCAGTGAGTCAACAGATGGCTCGCCACGTGCCAGACATCACAGCCCAGTGAGTCAACAGATGGCTCGCCACGTGCCAGACATCACAGCCCAGTGAGTCAACAGATGGCGCAGTGTGCAGACGACCCAGGAGCAGCGGCAGCGTCGTTTCTAAGTCCAGGGAATGGTCCCCTCCACGCTCACGCCTGCACAGTTGGTACTGTAGTGGTACTGAGCAGGTACTGGACTGGTGGGTCCAGTGGTACTGAGCAGGTACTCGACTGGTGGGTCCAGTGGTACTGAGCAGGTACTGGACTGGTGGGTCTAGTGGTACTGAGCAGGTACTCGACTGGTGGGTCCAGTGGTACTGAGCAGGTACTGGACTGGTGGGTCCAGTGGTACTGAGCAGGTACTCGACTGGTGGGTCCAGTGGTACTGAGCAGGTACTCGACTGGTGGGTCCAGTGGTACTGAGCAGGTACTCGACTGGTGGGTCCAGTGGTACTGAGCAGGTACTCGACTGGTGGGTCCAGTGGTACTGAGCAGGTACTGGACTGGTGGGTCTAGTGGTACTGAGCAGGTACTCGACTGGTGGGTCCAGTGGTACTGAGCAGGTACTGGACTGGTGGGTCTAGTGGTACTGAGCAGGTACTCGACTGGTGGGTCTAGTGGTACTGAGCAGGTACTCGACTGGTGGGTCCAGTGGTACTGAGCAGGTACTCGACTGGTGGGTCCAGTGGTACTGAGCAGGTACTCGACTGGTGGGTCCAGTGGTACTGAGCAGGTACTCGACTGGTGGGTCTAGTGGTACTGAGCAGGTACTCGACTGGTGGGTCCAGTGGTCCTGAGCAGGTACTCGACTGGTGGGTCCAGTGGTACTGAGCAGGTACTCGACTGGTGGGTCCAGTGGTCCTGAGCAGGTACTCGACTGGTGGGTCCAGTGGTACTGAGCAGGTACTCGACTGGTGGGTCCAGTGGTCCTGAGCAGGTACTCGACTGGTGGGTCCAGTGGTCCTGAGCTAGGACTTGAAGGCTTCCAGTAACAGACATCACTCAAGAGCTCTCAAGCTTCCAGTAACAGACATCACTCAAGAGCTCTCAAGCTTCCAGTAACAGACATCACTCAAGAGCTCTCAAGCTTCCAGTAACAGACATCACTCAAGAGCTCTCAAGCTTCCAGTAACAGACATCACTCAAGAGCTCTCAACCTTCCAGTAACAGACATCACTCAAGAGCTCTCAACCTTCCAGTAACAGACATCACTCAAGAGCTCTCAACCTTCCAGTAACAGACATCACTCAAGAGCTCTCAAGCTTCCAATAACAGACATCACTCAAGAGCTTTCAAGCTTCCAGTAACAGACATCACTCAAGAGCTCCCAACCTTCCAGTAACAGACATCACTCAAGAGCTCTCAAGCTTCCAGTAACAGACATCACTCAAGAGCTCTCAAGCTTCCAGTAACAGACATCACCCAAGAGCCCCCAAGCGTACTGACTTGTGGTCCTCAAATTTTTAGAGGAAAGGCCAAAATCCTGGAAAATACAGCCAATACAGTCATGCAAGAAATACAACTACAATACCCCCCCCTCCCGCCTTTTCTGCCTCCTCAGGGCAGCGCTTCCCTGAGTAGTTTAGAAAAGGTGAGTGAGTGTGTGGCCAATTAAATGCTCCCTCCGTAGTTAACGAGTGATTCAGATTATTTAGTTAATTACTATCAACCGTGATGTGATTACCCCTCCCCCCCCCCCTTAAGTTCTGTCCCCTCCCCTTGTCCCTCAAGTTCCGTCCCCTCTGTCTCTATCTGGAGAGACAGAGAACGTTCTTCAAGGTCTCCGTCACTTCTAGATGGCTGATAAAACACCTGAAGCTGGCTTATAAAACACATGAAGCTGGCTAATAAAACACCTGAAGCTGGCTAGGCTTACAAAACACCTGAAGCTGGCTAGGCTTACAAAACACCTGAAGCTGGCTAATAAAACACCTGAAGCTGGCTAATAAAACACCTGAAGCTGGCTAATAAAACACCTGAAGCTGGTTTATAAAACACCTGAAGCTGGCTAGGCTTACAAAACACCTGAAGCTGGCTAGGCTTACAAAACACCTGAAGCTGGCTTACAAAACACCTGAAGCTGGCTTACAAAACACCTGAAGCTGGCTAATAAAACACCTGAAGTTGGCTAATAAAACACCTGAAACTGGTTTATAAAACACCTGAAGCTGGCTTATAAAACACCTGAAGCTTACTTATAAAACACCTGAAGCTGGCTTATAAAACACCTGAAGCTGGCTGATAAAACACCTGAAGCTGGCTTGTAAAACACCTGAAGCTGGATTATAAAACACCTGAAGCTGGCTTATAAAACACCTGAAGCTGGCTTATAAAACACCTGAAGCTGGCTTATAAAACACCTGAAGCTGGCTTATAAAACACCTGAAGCTGGCTTGTAAAACACCTGAAGCTGGCTTATAAAACACCTGAAGCTGGCTTGTAAAACACCTGAAACTGGCTTGTAAAACACCTGAAGCAGGCTTATAAAACACCTGAAGCTGGCTTATAAAACACCTGAAGCTGGCTTATAAAACACCTGAAGTTGGCTTATAAAACACCGGAAGCTGGATTATAAAACACCTGAAGCTGGCATATAAAACACCTGAAGCTGGCTTATAAAACACCTGAAGCTGGCTTATAAAACACCTGAAGCTGGCTTATAAAACACCTGAAGCTGGCTTATAAAACACCTAAAGCTGGCTTATAAAACACCTGAAGCTGGCTTATAAAACACCTAAAGTTTGCTTATAAAACACCTGAAACTGGCTTATAAAATACCTGAAACTGGCTTATAAAACACCTGAAGTGGCTTATAAAACACCTGACGTGGCTTATAAAACACCTGAAGCTGGCTTATAAAACACCTGAAGCTGGCTTATAAAACACCTGAAGCTGGCTTATGAAACACCTGAAGCTGGCGTATGAATCACCCGAAGTTGGCTTATGAAACACCAGAAGCTGGCTTATAAAACACCTGAAGCTGGCTTATAAAACATCTGAAATCTGAAACGTGTGAGGTTATCACAGAGCCACAGTCTAGACCAGTGTGGGGTTATCACAGAGCCACAGTCTAGACCAGTGTGGGGTTATCACAGAGCCACAGTCTAGACCAGTGTGGGGTTATCACAGAGCCACAGTCTAGACCAGTGTGTGGTTATCACAGAGCCACAGTCTAGACCAGTGTGGGGTTATCACAGAGCCACAGTCGAGACCAGTGTTGGGTTATCACAGAGCCACAGTCTAGACCAGTGTGTGGTTATCACAGAGCCACAGTCTAGACCAGTGTGGGGTCATCACAGAGCCACAGTCTAGACCAGTGTGGGGTTATCACAGAGCCACAGTCTAGACCAGTGTGGGGTTATCACAGAGCCACAGTCTAGAACAGTGTGGGGTTATCACAGAGCCACAGTCTAGACCAGTGTGGGGTTATCACAGAGCCACAGTCTAGACCAGTGTGGGGTTATCACAGAGCCACAGTCTTGACCAGTGTGGGGTTATCACAGAGCCACAGTCTAGACCAGTGTGGGGTTATCACAGAGCCACAGTCTAGACCAGTGTGGGGTTATCACAGAGCCACAGTCTATACCAGTGTGGGGTTATCACAGAGCCACAGTCTAGACCAGTGTGGGGTTATCACAGAGCCACAGTCTAGACCAGTGTGGGGATATCACAGAGCCACAGTCTAGACCAGTGACAGGTTATCGTACCTGGTGACTCAATGTTCCATAATCTGTGAATCGTAAATTGTGTCAAAAAATGATCTGTATAAGTACTGAACAAAGTGTGTATAACAAAGTGTTGAAGTGTGTATAACATAAAGTGTTGAAGTGTGTATAGCATGAAGTGTGTATAACGTAAAGTGTGTATAGCATGAAGAGTGTCTAGTAGTGCTAGATAAGAGTGACAGTGTGTGTTCATAGTTGTGTTTATAAGAGAACATATTGTGAGGCGTTTACCTCCGTGTGGTGTTGTGAGGAAAATGAGCCATTATAGAGCTCCCGTGAGCACCTTGTGAGGTTGACTCTGGCGGTGGGCGTGGAAGTGGTTAGTGAGCACCACTGGAGAGCGCTCTGTGGTGCTCTGTGAGCCCGCTCTCTCTGGCGCTCTGTGTGCACGCGAGCGAGCTCTCTGGCGCTCTGTAAGCTGCGTATCGATCGCCAATCATGGCGTCACACTTCTCCTTCAATCTGCAGCAGGAGGACAATGACTTCCCCGTCATCACCAGACGACGACGACTCTTCTCGGTAAGTGTGGGGGTGTACTGAGGGGGGGGGGGTGTCTGTGGTGGGGGGGCTATGACACACCCGCCACAACCCCCCACACCCCCCACCTTCACCCCTTCCCTCCTCTTCCCCCCTTACTATGTCCCTGTTGCTCCCTATAGACTTCCACACCCTCCTGATGACCTGTTGCAACCTCCCCCTCTCCCCTACCCCTACCCCTACCCCAATCCCCTTCCCCTTCTCCCCTACCCTTCCCCCCTACCCCTCCCCCCTCCCCCCTCCCCCAGAAACCAAGGGTCAATAAGAGCAAGAACAATAAACAACACAATATTATCCAGTCCTGATCTTCTTTATATGTTTATTCGTATCCGGATGGTGGGGTTTAAGACTGGCTGCCAGTGGTGGGGTTTAAGACTGGCTGCCAGTGGTGGGGTTTAAGACTGGCTGCCAGTGGTGGGGTTTAAGACTGGCTGCCAGTGGTGGGGTTTAAGACTGGCTGCCAGTGGTGGGGTTTAAGACTGGCTGCCAGTGGTGGGGTTTAAGACTGGCTGCCAGTGGCGGGGTTTAAGACTGGCTGCCAGTGGTGGGGTTTAAGACTGGCTGCCAGTGGTAGGGTTTAAGACTGGCTGCCAGTGGTGGGGTTTAAGACTGGCTGCCAGTAGTGGGGTTTAAGACTGGCTGCCAGTGGTGGGGTTTAAGACTGGCTGCCAGTGGTGGGGTTTAAGACTGGCTGCCAGTGGTGGGGTTTAAGACTGGCTGCCAGTGGTGGGGTTTAAGACTGGCTGCCAGTGGTAGGGTTTAAGACTGGCTGCCAGTGGTGGGGTTTAAGACTGGCTGCCAGTGGTGGGGTTTAAGACTGGCTGCCAGTGGTGGGGTTTAAGACTGGCTGCCAGTGGTGGGGTTTAAGACTGGCTGCCAGTGGTGGGGTTTAAGACTGGCTGCCAGTGGTGGGGTTTAAGACTGGCTGCCAAGGGTGGGGTTTAAGACTGGCTGCCAGTGGTGGGGTTTAAGACTGGCTGCCAAGGGTGGGGTTTAAGACTGGCTGCCGATGGTGGGGTTTAAGACTGGCTGCAATGGTGGGGTTTAAGACTGGCTTTCCGATGGTGGGGTTTAAGACTGGCTGCCGATGGTGGGGTTTAAGACTGGCTGCCGATGGTGGGGTTTAAGACTGGCTGCCGATGGTGGGGTTTAAGACTGGCTGCCAAGGGTGGGGTTTAAGAGTGGCTGCCAAGGGTGGGGTTTAAGACTGGCTGCCAGTGGTGGGGTTTAAGACTGGCTGCCAAGGGTGGGGTTTAAGACTGGCTTTCCGATGGTGGGGTTTAAGACTGGCTGCCAGTGGTGGGGTTTAAGACTGGTTGCCGAGGGTGGGGTTTAAGACTATAAATATTGCGATAAGACTTTACGTGTAAAATACATCCTATGAACCCCCAGGAGGGCCATAATAGAACAACAGTGAACACATATATAGAACATTTTTGAAGTACTGAACATTTTAGAACATTATTGAACTATGGTCAGAGACCGGGCCGCTGGAATATTGACCCTCGGAATCAACGCAAGGACATTATTGAACTATAGAACATTATAGAATGTTATTGAACTATAGAACATTATAGAACACTGAAGCACAATTTATAATATTATTGATGTTTAGAACATTTTAGAACAATGTGGAACATTATAGAACACGGCAGAAGAGTAGAACATTATAGAACACGAGAACACTATAGAAGACGGTAGACCCCCCTCCACAACCCCCCTATACACCCCCCCCCCCCAGCTGCAGGAAGGACCCCACTGAATCTCTCGGAGCTAAACTTTGAAGCCTTCAGGAGAGAACCTTTAAACAAGTTCCTGCTCTGGATCAGCCTGGCTGTGATGGCTGTAGTTCCCTCTGTCGGGTTAAGGAAGCCTGTGGTGAGGCTTCTCCATGTCCTGCTAGGTAAACAGGCGCAACAGGTGAAAGGAAATTTGCCCCCCCCCCCCAACCGTCTGTGTTCTCCCTCAGGGAATCTGCGAGTGTGAAGCGAGGACGCAGACCACTGTGCCACAGAACGTCTCGGACCACCGGGTTCACAGACCAGACAGTCAGGAGGAGAGGGGGGAGGAGGGGGGAGTGACAACCGGCTGGACACTGCCCAACCACCTCTATTCTCTCAATATGACAGCTCCCACGCACGCACCCTTCCATTCAGCCATGCACACACGCACGCACACACAGGTGCGGGACCAAAGAGCCAAAGCTCAACCCCCGCAAACACAAATAGGTGAGTACAGGTGGAAATTGAGTGCCTAAATGAGTCATAGAGACGTTAGAAATCATTTTTTCAGTGTCAGAGTAGTAGACAAATGGAATGCATTAGGCAGTGATGTGGTGGAGGCTGACTCCATACACAGTTTCAAGTGTAGATATGACAGAGCCCAGTAGGCTCAGGAACCATTACATTAGTTGATTGACAGTTTAAAGGCGGGGCCAAAGAGCCAGAGCTCGATCCCCGCAAGCACAATTAGGCAATCACGTAAGTACACACATCTCGCTAATTGAAACAACTAGAAACCCTAGAGCTGCTAGTTTTCTCTTTCAGCGCCTTAGTGTGGCGATCCAGAGAGGAAATGCTCACTGCATTCATGGTTCCTGCCCGCCATCTGAGGAGCTGGAGGAGCTATACAAGTTGTGACAAGTAGTGTTGTACCTTGCATGCTACCAATGTTGTAACCCTTTTTGTGTAATGAAATTTTCAATCAAAGTTAGATATATATACACAGATACCAAAAGAATAGGGGTGGTAGGAGAAGAAAATATCAAAGTGTTCAGTGAGGATCCACAAGGTCTTCTCTGAGTACTCTTTATTTTCTTCTCCGAGGCTATGGGTCACTTGCACCAGAGGTATATATTTATTATGTTTCTTTTTTTGCTATGCATATTTTCAAACATTATTGTCTTCCTGCAGGTATGTGGTGCAGCATCTGGCGAGTGTGTCCCGCTTGTGAGTACCCTAGTGTGTCAGTGTGACCTGTGACGGTGTTAGTGTGACCTGTGACGGTGTCAGTGTGACCTGTGACGGTGTCAGTGTGACCTGTGACGGTGTTAGTGTGACCTGTGACGGTGTCAGTGTGACCTGTGACGGTGTCAGTGTGACCTGTGACGGTGTCAGTGTGACCTGTGACGGTGTCAGTGTGACCTGTGACGGTGTTAGTGTGACCTGTGACGGTGTCAGTGTGACCTGTGACGGTGTCAGTGTGACCTGTGACGGTGTCAGTGTGACCTGTGACGGGTCAGTGTGACGGTGTCAGTGTGACCTGTGACGGTGTTAGTGTGACGGTGTCAGTGTGACGGTGTCAGTGTGACCTGTGACGGTGTTAGTGTGACGGTGTCAGTGTGACCTGTGACGGTGTCAGTGTGACGGTGTCAGTGTGACCTGTGACGGTGTTAGTGTGACCTGTGACGGTGTCAGTGTGACGGTGTTAGTGTGACCTGTGACGGTGTCAGTGTGACGGTGTTAGTGTGACCTGTGACGGTGTCAGTGTGACGGTGTTAGTGTGACCTGTGACGGTGTTAGTGTGACGGTGTCAGTGTGACCTGTGACGGTGTTAGTGTGACCTGTGACGGTGTTAGTGTGACCTGTGACGGTGTCAGTGTGACCTGTGACGGTGTTAGTGTGACCTGTGACGGTGTTAGTGTGACCTGTGACGGTGTCAGTGTGACCTGTGACGGTGTCAGTGTGACCTGTGACGGTGTCAGTGTGACCTGTGACGGTGTTAGTGTGACCTGTGACGGTGTTAGTGTGACGGTGTCAGTGTGACCTGTGACGGTGTCAGTGTGACCTGTGACGGTGTCAGTGTGACCTGTGACGGGTCAGTGTGACGGTGTCAGTGTGACGGTGACGGTGTTAGTGTGACCTGTGACGGTGTCAGTGTGACCTGTGACGGTGTCAGTGTGACCTGTGACGGTGTTAGTGTGACCTGTGACGGTGTCAGTGTGACCTGTGACGGTGTCAGTGTGACCTGTGACGGTGTTAGTGTGACCTGTGACGGTGTCAGTGTGACGGTGTCAGTATGACCAGAACAAAAAACAAAGTACAAGTCATGACTGGCCTCCTCACTGAGTCAAATGCAGTATTTGGAGCTTTCAGAGAAACCCATGCAGGGGAATTCTTGGAAAGTGAGATCTGGATTCCAGGATATAATCTATACAGATGCGATAGGGTAATTAGGTCACATGGAGGAGTGGGTCTGTATATGAGGGCAGACCTTGTATGCTCGGAGCTCCTTAACGTTACAAATGAGGTGGTAGAGGTACTGGGAATAAAAATAGAGAAAATAAACTTAGGTATTATTTTAATATACAAACCGCCAGATGCAACGGCTGAGGAATTCACAGAACAGATAAGCAAAATAGAGAATAGCCTTGATAATTTGGAGAACCCGATATCTGATATTATCTTCTTAGATGACTTCAACTTGCCTAGTCTCAGATGGAGAATAGCAAACATTAATATTATACCAGGAAATCTATCGGGACCTAACCAACCACAGAATAGAGAACTGCTTAGATTTTGTGACAAATTTTACTCCACCAGCAGATATCAGAGCCAACGAGAAACGAAAATATTCTAGATTTGGTCTTTAAAACAATGAAGACATTATCAGGGACATTACGATATCAGATACCACATACTCAGATTACGAGCTCATTGAAGTGCAAACGGCCATCAATACTCAGAATAGACCTAAAACAATGATAAAGCGAGAGGATTTATTCAGTAATTTAAATTTTAATAATAAAAGGACAGACTGAGAGACAATAAACAGGAAACGTACAAACATTTCACAGGGAAACTGTTCTAAGTAATACAAGTCCTCTAGAAGGAATAGAAAAAGCTGACTTCTGAAGCATATCAAGTCTGTCTGAAACATGTTCCTTTGAGGAAAGCCAGAAAGACGTCCAATGTAGAAAGAGAACGCAGACGACACTATAAAAGAAGGGAAAAAATAACGGAAATGCTTAAGCAGACACGACGCGATGAAGTCGAGCAGAAACGGAAACACTCGTGTCAGCTTGAAGAAAGGCAGCTAGAACAGAAAGCAATTCAAGAAATAAAGAAGAATCCAAAATATTTCTTCCATATGCTAAATCAAAAGTAAAAAACCACTGCCAGTATTGGACCTATTCGTACGAGTGAAGGTTCATTCACGGAGGATGACAAAGAAATTAGTGAAATCCTAAAAAAGCAGTATGAGGACATGTTTAGCACTCCAATAAACAACATAAAAGTGGAAGATCCAGACAATTTCTTTATGCGGGATATCCAAACCCCTGTAAATATAACTGATATCAACACGAGCGTGGAAGATTTTGAAAGAGAAATTGAAAACATGCCCATGCACTCGGCCCTAGGTCCAGATTCATGGAATTCAATATTTATAAAGAAATGCAAAGTGCCGGTAGCACAGGCACTCAGTATAGTGTGGAGGAAGAGCTTGGACACGGGGGAGATACCAGATGCACTTAAAGTAGCAGCCATTGCCCCTCTACACATGGGAGGGAGCAAAGCATTGGCAAAGAATTATAGACCAGTTGCACTAACGTCCCACGTAATAAAAGTATTTGAGAGAGTGATCAGGAGTCAGGTTACCAGTTTCATGGAGACCAATGACCTCCACAACCCAGGCCAACATGGATTTCGAGCGGGAAGATCGTGCCTCTCACAGCTACTTGATCACTACGACAAAGTCACTGAGGCATTAGAAGAAAAACAGAATGCTGATGTGATATACACGGACTTCGCAAAGGCTTTCGATAAATGTGACCATGGCGTGATAGCACACAAAATGAAGTCAATGGGAATAACCGGTAAAGTAGGACGCTGGATACTCAGTTTTCTGTCGAACAGAACACAGTCGAGTCCAAGCGCAGTTAAAAGTTCTGTACCTCAAGGTACAGTCCTTGCACCACTGCTGTTCTTTATTCTCATATCAGATACAGACAAAAATACAAGTCACAGCTTCGTGTCATCCTTTGCAGATGACACAAAAACCAGCATGAAAATTACCTGTGCTGAAGACATTGAAAAATTACAAGAAGATATCAACAAAGTTTTTGACTGGGCAACAGAAAATAACATGATGTTTAACACCTGATGTTTACACCAGAAATATTGCCGGAACAACCGTGGACATCTTCAAGAGAAAACTAGATTTATTCCTCCAAGGAGTGCCGGACCAACCGGGCTGTGGTGGGTATGTGGGCCTGCGGGCCGCTCCAAGCAACAGCCTGGTGGACCAAACTCTCACAAGTCAAGCCTGGCCTCGGGCCGGGCTTGGGGAGTAGAAGAACTCCCAGAACCCCATCAACCAGGTATCAACCAGGTTTGACAACAGTGTGACAACAATATAAGTATGACAACAGTGTGACAACAATATTAGTATGACAACAGTGTGACAACAATATTAGTATGACAACAATATAAGTATGACAACAGTGTGACAACAATATAAGTATGACAACAGTGTGACAACAATATTAGTATGACAACAGTGTGACAACAATATAAGTATGACAACAATGTGACAACAATATTAGTATGACAACAGTGTGACAACAATATTAGTATGACAACAGTGTGACAACAATATTAGTATGACAACAGTGTGACAACAATATAAGTATGACAACAGTGTGACAACAATATAAGTATGACAACAGTGTGACAACAATATAAGTATGACAACAGTGTGACAACAATATTAGTATGGCAACAGTGTGACAACAATATTAGTATGGCAACAGTGTGACAACAGTGTGACAACAATATTAGTATGACAACAGTGTGACAACAATATTAGTATGACAACAGTGTGACAACAATATAAGTATGACAACAGTGTGACAACAATATTAGTATGACAACAGTGTGACAACAATATTAGTATGACAACAGTGTGACAACAATATAAGTATGACAACAGTGTGACAACAATATTAGTATGACAACAGTGTGACAACAATATTAGTATGGCAACAGTGTGACAACAGTGTGACAACAATATTAGTATGACAACAGTGTGACAACAATATTAGTATGACAACAGTGTGACAACAATATTAGTATGACAACAGTGTGACAACAATATTAGTATGACAACAGTGTGACAACAATATAAGTATGACAACAGTGTGGCAACAATATTAGTATGACAACAGTGTGACAACAATATTAGTATGACAACAGTGTGACAACAATATAAGTATGACAACAGTGTGGCAACAATATTAGTATGACAACAGTGTGACAACAATATTAGTATGACAACAGTGTGACAACAATATTAGTATGACAACAGTGTGACAACAATATAAGTATGACAACAGTGTGGCAACAATATTAGTATGACAACAGTGTGACAACAATATTAGTATGACAACAGTGTGGCAACAATATTAGTATGGCAACAGTGTGGCAACAGTGTGACAACAGTGTGACAACAATATTAGTATGACAACAGTGTGGCAACAATATAAGTATGACAACAGTGTGACAACAATATTAGTATGACAACAGTGTGACAACAATATTAGTATGACAACAGTGTGACAACAATATTAGTATGACAACAGTGTGACAACAATATTAGTATGGCAACAGTGTGGCAACAATATTAGTATGACAACAGTGTGACAACAGTGTGACAACAATATTAGTATGGCAACAGTATGACAACAGTGTGACAACAATATTAGTATGGCAACAGTGTGGCAACAATATAAGTATGACAACAGTGTGACAACAATATAAGTATGGCAACAGTGTGACAACAATATTAGTGTGACAACAATATTAGTATGACAACAGTGTGACAACAATATTAATATGACAACAGTGTGACAACAATATTAGTATGACAACAGTGTGACAACAATATTAATATGACAACAGTGTGACAACAATATTAGTATGACAACAGTGTGGCAACAGTGTGACAACAG